AAATGTTTGCAATTGCCTGTGGTTGTTATGTCAGACGTTTTTGGTGACCCTATAAACAACAGACAGAACGTCGGTAGCAGAACGACAGAACGTCGTCGTCAGTAGAGCGCATTAAACTAGCAGCCGTAACACCGTGGATTCAAAACCTGATTGTCTCACTCGCTTTAGTTTCTTCTGACGACTATAATTGTATATCACTAAGCACCGTAGTGACCAGCGAGCTTTCGACTGCTCTCTTAAACAGAATGAGAAATAACATTCTTAATTGACTGCACCGTAAAAAGAAGTTAGTAATAAACTGTGTGGTTTATGAGATAATGGCGCGACCGATATCACCAAGTAAGAAAATCACCAACTTTGTTAGAGACTAACTAATATGGGACCGACAAACCTGTGTAACAATTTTCCTATTTTTTTCCAGCTTCCAGATATAAATGGTAATTGCATTTTTACGTGCTTAATCTTCTTATTTTTTGTAAATTTTCTGGAAGGGTTTCCACCCGTAATTTACGCTGATGATATATAAGTAACTAAGTTATTGTTTATAAAGTATTTATTTAAGGCATATTATTTAGGGGCAAGACGAAAATGACAAGAAAGTCGAGAGTTTCATCGATCGCTTGAAGGAACACATGAACCCTTATAATCTCAGTCTTTATATGGAAAGTTTCATGCGCAGAACGGATCTGTCTGTTGTCCTGGCTGGTCAAATTAAGTATGAATGTTTGCGTCATTTCTAGTTTTGTATCATATTTTTGGAACGCCGAGCACAAATAAATTAATGTGTATTAACTGAATTAGTTTAAATCTGAATTATTTTCCAGATTTAAGGGTCGGAAAGTGACTAATGTTTTATTGCATATCGATAAAATGCGTTCTGTCACTCGATTACGGATAACTGTAGCACAAGTATCTCTTTGTTCGTTGGAGGTTCAACGTGTGATGTCTTCTTTCAAGCTATCTCGTAGTTTTCTTATTCATCTAATGGTCGTTATCCCCTGCTCAAAGGGTAACAGGTGTTATTGAAAGATCTTAAATGTTTTATGGATTTACTACGGATGGCGTCCCCCTGTCTTCATCAGTCAGCCTCTTTTATACGCATCTACTTTAAGATTAAAAAGATCTGTTAATCCCTGACAGTGTTCTCTGATTTGCCGACCATTTCGAAATTCAAGACATGCTTTAACACCAACAGCAGCGACTCAGCAGCGTGTATACTATCGTACTTGTTTGAATCATGTGGCCCTGTATTTTTTTCGTTGCTTATACATTGCAGCAGATACGGTAAAGTTAAAGAGAGAAGACAAACCACTATCAGATGATAAGGACATCTCTTTCTTTAGGCTTTTATCACTGCAGGAACACTTTTGATTATATTGAGAAAGAACCAGTCTAAGCGACGTTCTCGCTAAGTAATTGATGTCTTTTCTTCAACTTCAACAACCAGCGGTTTGATTTTTAAGAACACAGCGGAATCATGTGCTGCTACTAATGTACTTGTATATGTCGCGTTTTAAATGTTTATAGATATTTTTAATTGCAGAGTGGACGCACTTCTTGTCGTCGGTTCCAAAGCGTCGCATATCCACACCGTTTACACAATGCACCAGGCAATGAGTAAGCGAAATACAACGCTGTTGGTCGTCGATGGCATCGGTGACGTTCTGACGGAAGCTGTAACAAACCACATGAACATTTATTTTCTCATCATCATTGTAAATATTTTAGCCAAAGAAGCTTGCAAGGGCTTTTATTCTATTCTGCAAGGGTTGCGGCGTCTGTAAGTTGAAATTTCTGTGTACAGGACCATGAGATTTTTATCATGTCTTCAACACGGTGTCTTCAACAGACCTTATGACAAGAAAAAGAGAAATACTATATACATTGATTCGTTTTGTGTGATTACTTTCGGGCTGCTGGAGTAGCAGCTTCATCAAATGTTTTTAGCGGCCTCCAGCTTCCGCCAATCAGAAATCCTCCACTAGCTTTATTTAAGAGCGCGACATGGATAGAATTTCATGGCAGTTCAGTACTCCCGAGCCACCT